AATGTTATTTCCTTTTTGCGTGAAAGAATACATTTTCATTTTTGTTCTACATAACAGGAAATGCCGCCAACACTTATCATCATACACGACTCACACGAGTGTGAATTTTCTTATGTGTAGCTTACCTTACAAGTTTACCGTTTTTTGTTAACTAACAATGATAATAAAGTCTGTCATAATAAACAAACAACAACACAAATGACTTTTGTCGTTATTAAGTACTATGAGCAAAAACATGTCATAAATAACGCTAAGTCCTTTTGTCATTGGCAAATATTAAGAGTGATATAATATATTTTAACAACCGAAAGACCAAGTGCATTATTTTTCAAAGACTAACTACAATTTCCTGACGACCATATATTTCATGGTCTCTGATGGATAGTCTACCCGGGGGGTATCTTATCCGAGGGGTTATTGCGGGAATAACTAGAGAGAAGTCAGAGCAAATAGGAGGAGAGAGAGTCGATTTTATTAAATGAACTCAGCGTGTGGAGTTGAGATGTAGGTTTTTTATTACAAGGAGAAATGGGCTGCTATTTATAGCAGCAATAAATGCGATGAGAGTACACGTGTCAGTAATCCGACGGCCGAAGGGTCACATCAGCCTGGTGGCACCGGCAGTGGTACGTTCACCGCATTGAATGCGGTTGGCGGATGTGACGTGGCATTAAATGCGGTGGTTGGCTGTCCCTAAAAGGAATCTTCGATGATTGAGCATGCTTGGCCGAAGGCACCTTGTATGGCCGAGGGCTCCTCGTTGCCACGGACCCCTGTGTAGCCGAAGGCCCTGTGTGACCGGAGGCTTGGTTCAGCCGAAGGCTTCTCTGATGCCGAGGGCTTGATAGTGCCGAAGGCTCCTGTTTTTCGCCGTTTTCTCCCAGTAGCCTCTTATGCCAGAGAAGGCTACCCTGTGAGGTTTGGAGCCTTCGGCCAAGGAGGCCGAAGGCACCCCAGTGCGTATTCTGGGCTACGTCGGGGCTTGGGCCGCCGCATTTTGGGCCTGAGTTGTTCCCTGGGCCCAATGAACTTGTGTAGGAGAAGTAGGAGTCTATGGGCCGGGGGTTCCTGGGCCATATACTCCATCAGGAGTCCCTCACTCCTTTTGCCGAAAGGTACTCGAGGGAAAAGGAGTAGATGTGTTGATTCTTCCGGAGGCTCCATCATTTGGTTGGGCGCCTTTGCTTGAGAGCTGCCTTCTGCAGATTGCCGAAGGCTTCCCTCAGTCCCTCACATGTCAAGGGTTTTCTGAGGGAATGCATTCATGACCTTCTTATGTTTGCCGGGGGCTCCCCTCAGTCCCTCACATGTCGAGGGCTTTCTGAGGGCAGTGTAACACCTGTATGATTGCAGAAGGCTTTTCCCAGTCCCTCGCATGTCGAGGGTTTTCCGGGGAAAGCATAGATGTATTGCCTGCATGTGTTGTGACGAGGGCTGCCTCATTCCCGAGGGGTGTGTCCCAGTCCCCCACTCCTTTAGGCCGAAGGCTAGTTCGGGCTGAAGGAGTTATGTTGTTTGGTGAACCCCCGAGGGTGGTAATGTTGATAGCCGGAGGCTTATGTTGTTTCTTTCTCTAGGCCGCCGGATGAATAATACCACAGAAAGCTGTGTTAGGAAATAGCCGGAGGCTATTACCCGAGAGCATGCCAATATTTCGGGGGTATGGCCGTTATAATAGAGCCGTTGGAAGAGGGTTCCACGTGGCGCTCTGTCGTTGGCAGATGGGGGGCGGGTGCCACCCATTGGTTGAACCGGCGGCCCATAATGATGGCTTTTCCAAATCGAGGCCCAGTACCCGAGGCTGAGAGTCTATATATAGCCCAAGCCGAATTCATTTTCTCTTGTGCGAACCTGAGTGATAGCGGAGCTCTGCCAAAATTTCTAGAGAGATAAAGTATTTCCTCCGATCAAAACCTAAGTCACAAGGTCAGTTCTTGCTCCGTTTCTTACTACCTTGGCATATTTTGCTTTGTTTACCTTTAGATCGAGTGTTAGAGATCTTAGGAGCCTTCGGCCAGAACCTTAAGTAGCCTTCCCCTTCTAGAAGTTGTTCCTTAGTACAAAATGTCTTCGCAAACCGATTCTCAGAACATCTCGAGGGAGGCCCCGGCACAATCTGAAAGCATTTCTGAGGTGGAGTCCTCAAGCGAGCAGCCTTCGAATATTGACGACTCGCAAGTGGCTGCCGAAGTCCAAAAGCGTCTCATAACCGAGGCCGAAGCCGAGGAGTTTGAGCAAGTGATTGAGGACGAGGAGATGGCCCTCGCGGTCCAAATTGCCGAGGAGGAAGAAGAGAAGGAGAGGATGGAAGTGACCATCGCTGTTCCTCCCCCTCGTAACGACGCCGGAGAAGGGAGTTCTAAGCCCCTGGATCCGGAGCCTCTCAATGTGGCTCCCGGGAAGAAGAAGAAGAAGACGAGGGTGGCCTCGAAGAAGAAGCAAGCCGCCGTCGATGCGGGACAGCCCGTCGGGATTCCGGAGGGGCATTCATATTTGAATACCGCAGCTCTCGAAGTGGAAACCAAGGCCACGCATGCCGAATATATGGCGACGCAATTCTTCGTTGGGCCTTCGGCACAAGTGGTGGAGCCGGGGCCAGATGATGTGCTCCTACGTCCCCCGGAAGGATGCTTTGCTGTGCACATCCTATCTGTGGAGTTGGGGCTTCGGTTCCCACTCCACCCCTTCGTAATAGAGTATCTTCGCTTTGTCAAACTCGCTCCCTGCCAGATTACTCCGAACAGCCATTCATATCTGGCCGGGTTCTTGTCTTTATGCCGGGAAAGGGGAGTGGTGGCATCGCTAGATCAGTTTCTCCTTTCTTTCAACCTTTGCCGGGGGGGACACGCCAATAGCGAGGGCTTCGCTAATCTTCAACAGGTTCCCGAGTGGAGGCTGTTCTCGGAAGTCCCTTCCTCCCACAAAGGTTGGAAGGACAAGTTCTGCTTCATCCGGATGGAGGAGAACCCTTTCCCTGCTCCCCTCCGCGATAACTTCAAGAGGCATCCTAAAGTAGGGAATGCCTTCCTCGCGAAGGAGGGGAAGAAGCTGGTAGCCAAGCCGGAGGGCTCGGACAAGCAGAAGACCATCAAGGATGCCACCCTCCCGGAGGAGCTGCTTCGCCTAGGTTTCCGGCGGTTCCGGCTGATGGGGGAGACCGGTGACGAGTACCCTCCGATAGATAGGGTGTATGAGAGTGCCGGAGGTGATTGCCGAAGGGTCCTTATCTTGTACTTAGGATACTCTTGTGCCTTTTGCTATGTAACTTATTTTTGCACGTTTTCCTTCTTTTCAGGCGCAGAGATGGACGCGAAGAACTTCGCGAAGCTCAAGAAGCAATTGGCCAAGGAGCCGAAGAAAAAGAAGGAGGGGGGACCCTCCCAGCAAAGGCCCGTTGAAGATTTTTTCCCGAAAGGGGAAGCCGTGAAGGACCAGGGGGCCGAGGGGGCCTCCCAAGTTGTTGTCGGGGGTGCCGGTGCCCTGAAAATTGAAACCGCCAAGCGAAAGGCCCCGGAAAAAGGGGTCGAGGCCCCCGGGAAAAAGGTTAAGAAGGCTGTCGGCGCAAAGGGGGCACCAGTGGTAATTTCTGAGGGCCATTCCTCCTCCGGCACGCCGTTGGTGTTTGTTGCCGCTGCCCCCCTTCCGGATCAGATGGAAGATGGGCCATGGCCCCGGGAGAACGTCCAATTCTCCATCAAGAAAGGGACCGCCATTCTGCACGGCACCCTGGATCCGAAGGAGTTCTTGGATGGGGCCACTCCTTCGCTGGATAGATCGACCCTGAGCCGGTACGACGACGCTGCCCTGGACGCTAAGCTTCTCCAGGCCTCGGTGACTGTAAGTCTCAATATTCTCTCTTCCCTTAGCCTTTTGTCCTCAGTTTTTTTTTTTTTTTTTTTTTTTTTTTTTTTTTTTTTTTGCAGAGGTTTGATCCTTTGTTTCTTTTTTGTGTCTGCAGGCCAGTATAGCCCTCGGAGAACACGTCCGGAGGGTGGAACAATTACGCCTCCAGAAGGCAGAGTCCGACGAGGCCCTGAGGAAGCTCGTCGTGACTAATACCGAGGCCATCCGGAAGATGGCAATTCTGGAGGAGAACCTCCGGCAGATGGAGAAGAAGCTGGAGGTTGCCCGAATGGAGGGCAAAGCCGAAGGGGAAGCGGAGGGCAAGGCTGAGGCCGAGAAGCTCGCCGCCGCCGCTGCTGTGGCCGCTGCTGAAAAGGCCGAGGATGCCAAGAAGGAAGCCGTCGCTCGGGCCGGAAAGGACGCTGTTGCCGCTTTTGTTACCGGGGGCTGGAGAGACGAGGAGCAGAAGCCGTGGGTGGCCTCGGTTGTCGAGGCTTCAGTGGATGACTGGGCGGCTGGCCCCGGGGCTTTGTGGCTAGCTAAGAAGGGGAAGAGCTACTACGAAGGCGGTGAGTACTTCACGCAGGCCAACATCTACCGGAAGCTGGCTCGGCATTTCAACGTTGACCCGAAGGCGTTCCAGCCAGAAGCCTACGGCCTTCCGCCCCTTCAGCCCGATGTACGGATCCCTCTGCCCGAAGGCGAGGAAAGAGAGCTGCTTGAAGATTCTGAGCTGGCGAAGGAAGCCGATGATGAGGAAGTTGAAGATGACGCAGCCTCCAGGTCGAAAGGAGGCGATCATGAAGCTGCTCCTTAGGAAATTCATGTTTTCAATCTCCTTGTAATAGATCAGCGCTTCATCGGCTTCGGCCATTTGTAAACAAACATTTCTGCAACTCCCCAACAATTATCATGAATTTTCGCCTTCGGGTTTTGTTTTGTTATATGAATGGTTGCCTTCATTTTCGATTCTTCTGTATGAATGTATGCCTTTCTTCACTATGTATTTTTTCTCCTGTTGTCTGGTTTCCCGAGGGCCACAAGTTTGTGGACTTAGAGAATTTTATAAGTCCACAACAACGACCCCCGGTAATTCTACACTACAACCGAGGGCTAGCAAGGAGATATTGAACACGAATCAGAAGAGTAATGGAGAAGAAGGAAATGTGTATAGAATGAATGTTTGTTATATGAGTTACAAGCCTCCTATAAGGAGTATATATAGGGAAAATCCGGGTCTGGGCGTCTAATATGGACCCAACAGACCCGGTTACATAAATGGACTGATAGTATAAAAAGCTAATCTAGAACATCTGAATAATAATAATAATGTACAATAATATTAATGATATCCGCTAAACGTGTGTGGGCCGCTGTCCAGGCCTAGTAGTCGGCATACCAGGGGGTCGGAGTCCATATAATCCATCAGGAGTCCCCCACTCCCTGAGTCGAGAGTACTCGAGGCGAAAGGGAGTAGTCCAAACCGTATCTGCAACGTTCTTCCTCTTCGGACGGGGGACCACCACCCTTGTCCATTATGGGGAGGTGCCTCGTTAAAAACCTTTACTAGGAAAAACCCAGTGGGAAAAAATCCTAATAAAGGGAAAAAGAGTACACCTAGCGCCCCCAACATGAAACAAGGAAGGTAAATCCCATCCGGCATAATCAATCTAGCTCAGCTCCTCTTCAACCGACTCAGCTCTCGTTCCTGCTCTTGCGTGATATTTTCTGCTCATCTAGAAACTCTGACCCCTCAGTCCCCCAGTCCCCACTCTTTGAGGCGAGTGGAGACGAGGTGAAAATGAGTAAAGTCATCTTCGTAACTACACATTTATCATACATATAAAAAAAATTCTCTTGGGATTGATGTTCCCAATCGGGAGTTCGTCACTTGAAACAAGTGGAGATGTGAATTGTCAATGTAATGATAAAATACTTAGTAGAATGGATGTGTGAGCCATTCGTAAGCAACGGTCGCCACTCAAGGAATGACTAAGACCGGTCTTCGTACCCGACTTGGTCGGGGTTTTGTCTTCATGCCCGACTTGGTCGGGGCTTTGTGCCTGAGGAGACAGAGCTTTGTGCCTGAGGAGTCAGGGCTTTAAATCCTAGTGATGGGTCTCAAGCCACACTCTACTAGGTATTTGATCATAAGTGCGTGATAGTGTGATGCTCGCCCGACAAAAAATTAATTTAAATAAAAATAATATGAAAATTAAAGAGTACTTATCTTTTTGAAGTGGGCTGAAATATTGGACTGCTTGGGCTAAAATATTGGGCTGATGTTGAAATTGAGCCCACTCGCATTAGTTAGTATCAATTTTTGCGCTGAAGCAGTCCTGGCCCGAAAACAGCGGCCCATCAAGAGATCTGAGGCTCAATCTCTGGCTCCACGTAATCCCAGCCCACTGCTCCATCTTGTCCCATGTTTATTTCCAGCGGAGTTTTTGATGGCTAATGTAACAGTCCATGTGCGTAGGTCCTCCAAACGATGCTGGGAGATCTTCGAATGATGTGTGGTCGGCGTCCATTTCCCACACCTAACGTCAGATTTGCAAAGGAAAGAGCAGCTAGCTATCTCCTCGTCGCCAGCCGCCTATAGTCGTCGTCAGCAGGAAGAAAGGCGGAGCCGCTGCTGGAGCTGCGTTGAGGTAGACGTTGACCGGATCGGGCACATCTTCATCTCCTTCCATAGCTCACGTTTGGTCTGGAGAGAGGAAGAGGTAGAGTCGTTGCTTCCGTCCAGGGAGGTAAGGCCCAGACGGACCCTTCCTACCACGGCCGTCGCCGTCCTATACGGCGGAAGAAGTCTTTGTCGTGGCTGAGAGACCTCCTCGCTGCGGAGCTTAAGTTGGTGGTGATGCGATACAGGTGGTTCGCGGTGGCCTGCCGCCGGCAGGGGTGCTAGACCAGAAGTTAGCCGACATGACCTGGGACGCCGCTGCGGGGCGTCGGTTCTCCGGCCTTGTCTGCGAAATCCTAGATTTCTGATTGTGCCGTTGCTGTAATTTTTTTATTTTATTTTTCCAGAATAGTTCCTCACAGTTTGAGCTACCTTTGGCCGGATCGTTACGGGAAGCAAATAGCGTGAAAGCGGAGCGAGCTTCCATTAGCCGCCGCCGGCGAGCAACTAGCGGTGGTGATGCGACTTAGGCGAGGAGCTCCATGGATCCGAACAGGCGTCACAACTTGGTACCTTCCTTGCGGGGCCGACACTACCCGGAGCTGAAGCAGGAGATTGGTGGGCCTAGTGGCGCAGTGACGGAGGTGGAGCAGCCAGCTGCGACCAGCAACGCCAAGGTGCAGCAAGACTGTCTGAGAAACAGTTCAGGCAGATTGGAAAAAATTGAAATTCTAATTTTTCTTTTCTTGAACAGTTTTGGGTAGAATTTTTGTGATTTTGGTAGAGTTTTTTTTTGGTTAAGCGAGGAGGTTTTCTCACTTGATTGTGTTTAACCTCTCAACGAGAGCACCAAATGATGGATAGTCTACTCGGGGGTATCTTATCCGAGGGGTTATTGCGGGAATAACTAGAGAGAAGTCAGAGCAAATAGGAGGAGAGAGAGTCGATTTTATTAAATGAACTCAGCGTGTGGAGTTGAGATGTAGGTTTTTTATTACAAGGAGAAATGGGCTGCTATTTATAGCAGCAATAAATGCGATGAGAGTACACGTGTCAGTAATCCGACGGCCGAAGGGTCACATCAGCCTGGTGGCACCGGCAGTGGTACGTTCACCGCATTGAATGCGGTTGGCGGATGTGACGTGGCATTAAATGCGGTGGTTGGCTGTCCCTAAAAGGAATCTTCGATGATTGAGCATGCTTGGCCGAAGGCACCTTGTATGGCCGAGGGCTCCTCGTTGCCACGGACCCCTGTGTAGCCGAAGGCCCTGTGTGACCGGAGGCTTGGTTCAGCCGAAGGCTTCTCTGATGCCGAGGGCTTGATAGTGCCGAAGGCTCCTGTTTTTCGCCGTTTTCTCCCAGTAGCCTCTTATGCCAGAGAAGGCTACCCTGTGAGGTTTGGAGCCTTCGGCCAAGGAGGCCGAAGGCACCCCAGTGCGTATTCTGGGCTACGTCGGGGCTTGGGCCGCCGCATTTTGGGCCTGAGTTGTTCCCTGGGCCCAATGAACTTGTGTAGGAGAAGTAGGAGTCTATGGGCCGGGGGTTCCTGGGCCATATACTCCATCAGTCTCCAAGTTCCAAAAAGCTTTGTTGTTGTGGTTATAAGAAATTATGAATTTCTTATAACATACTCAAAAGAAACGCACACTGATATAATATTATAAAATGATCTCACTATTATTGATATGTCTAGAATAGAGAACTATAAATTGTTTTCTCACTAAAATCATTATTTTTGTAATTGTTATAACTACTAATAGTTGAGTTAACCAAGATAACTATATAATTTTTTTTGTAATGAGCATAAGTGCCATATTAAAGTTAGTATAATGTTTTAAAAAGAATTGTACATGCTAGACAAGTACTATATACTATACTATATAAGTAAAGTATATAGTAGGAAGAGAAGTAGGAGTATATAGTAACTGATGAAAAACTCTCCTTTATTATTTCAAATACAAAAAAAGGTAGAAAAAAGGTTTAAAAGAGAAAAAGGATTTCATCACCAGAATAACAATAATTCCATCGAACAACAACCAGAGAGAATCCCCTCTCATTTTCTACTCCCCGTGGGCGGTTTTCGGATTTCGATCACTGACCCAACTTTAAGGCCTCAATCTTTAAAACTTGTTCTTTTCTTAGTTCTTATCCTCATTGTTATTATTACTACCATACTAACTCATTGTAAAGATCCCTCTCCAATTTTCCTTTCTGGTAAATGGTGCTCGTATTGCTCTTCCTTTTTATATTTACTGCTTGATTGCTTTCTCGCAGTTAGGACTTGGGGTTTTGACGAAGAATGTTTGATGGGTTCCACAGATCATCCGCAGATCTTGTAATCGCTTGATCTAGACGACGATAACTGAGGTTAGTGTACATCTTGCCAATCTTTCTCCGGGGATGAAGCTGAACGAGTCGGCAGATTTGATTGTTTTGTGGGGGGTGTTTTAGGGCTTAAACCTATACTTGCATAGTAGTTGCATCTGTGCTTCGCACTGTTCAGTTGGGGGAAATAGAAATTCATGAACTTTGTATGTAGTTTTTCTAATAGGCACACTGAATTTGTCTCTTGGAAGTTGGAAGACGGATTAGTTGCAAGAATTGACTTTTTTTTTTACTGTTTTACTTTTTAATTGCCCCGGATGAGGAAGGGATATATTTTTTCACTAAACCTGTAAGCTTGAAGTTGCAGGTGGATGGATGTCTGCTTCTGTTGATCGATAACCAAAGCCTGTGAGGTGATTGGATCTTCACCTGGTTACTATAAGTGGTAAGGTTGGTTTTGTGTTTGCTGCTTCTGCAATGTCAGTATCTTTTGTGATTTGTTATCTGTTTTAAACAAATCAATCAACACCTATCGGGCTTTACCTTAAGGTAACTTGAACCCCTACTCCCTACTTTCCCAGTGATGATCAAACAGATACTAAACAGGCTCCCTCGGAAGCCCTCCAAGTCAGCTGAAAACCGTGATGGAGGAACCTCTACTTTTCCTCCAAATTCTTCTAATTCAAGAAGCAGTGACTTATCTGGTGCACGGTCAGGGAGTTCTAATGCTATGTCTCTGTCGGGGACTAATTCCAATTCTGCCACTGGGGCAAACCACGGAAATAAACTTCTCCATGGTTCAAGTGCCAAAGAGAACGGGACCTTGGCAGTTTTCCACTACGAAGCACTGCCTAATTTTAGAGATGTTCCCACTTCCGAGAAGCAGAGTTTGTTCATAAAGAAGCTCAACATGTGCTGCGTACTTTTTGATTTCACAGACCCCACAAAAAACATGAAAGAGAAAGATATAAAGCGGCAGACTTTGATGGAGCTTGTTGACTATGTTGCCTCAGTGAATGTGAAGTTCAATGAAACTGCCATGCAAGAGATCGTAAAAATGGTTTCCACAAATCTGTTCAGATCACTTACCCCTCAGCCTCGTGAAAACAAGATTTTGGAAGCTTTTGACTTGGAAGAGGAGGAACCGACGATGGACCCTTCATGGCCACACCTGCAGATCGTTTACGAATTCCTTCTCAGGTTTGTGGCCTCACCTGAGACGGATGCCAAACTGGCAAAGCGGTATATTGATCATTCCTTTATCATCAGACTGCTAGATCTATTTGATTCAGAAGACCCTAGGGAAAGGGAGTACCTTAAAACAGTTCTCCACAGGATTTATGGAAAGTTCATGGTGCACAGGCCATTTATTAGGAAGGCAATCAATAATATATTCTATCGGTTCATTTTTGAAACAGAGAAACACAATGGGATTGCAGAGCTGCTGGAAATATTGGGCAGTATAATTAATGGGTTCGCCTTACCACTGAAGGAAGAGCATAAGCTTTTCCTTGTCCGTGCCCTTATCCCGCTTCACAAACCAAAGTGCATCCAAATGTACCACCAACAGCTGTCTTACTGCATCACACAGTTTGTGGAAAAGGATTGCAAGCTTGCTGACACTGTTATTAGGGGTTTATTGAAGTATTGGCCTGTCACAAACAGCTCTAAGGAGGTTATGTTCTTGGGTGAGCTGGAGGAGGTCTTAGAAGCTACACAACCTCCAGAGTTCCAACGCTGTATGGTTCCTTTGTTCCGCCAAATTGGCCGGTGCTTGAGCAGCTCACATTTTCAGGTTAATGAATCCATGCTTTCTATTCTCTTTAAAAGTTGTATTTTGCAAGTTTATTGTAAAACAGAGATTGCATTTGTCATTTGAGTCTAAGCTGATATCTCCCAAGTCAATGGTTCTATTTGCTCATTTGATTTATTTTGTTTGATTCTCCTTTTTTGAGACATATTCATCCTCATCCCTCTATTGGTCTAGGGCCCTAGGCAATTGCCTAGGGTGTGGCTTTAACAATGGTCTAAAATATATAGCACATTAGAGATATTAATTATTAATATCAACACTCACTAAAGTTAATACATGAAGGTGTGTTGTTAAAAGTTGTCATTGGGATCTATGAGTATTAAACTAGACACATTGTGATGTCTTTTGATGTTAAAAAAATAAAAAAAATGTTGTTAAACTTCACTCGTAGTTCATTAATATCGAATTGTAATTAAATTTTGAGTTACAATATTGTAATCTTTAAACTACAATGGATTACATTAATATTTAGTTGTACTCGTTGAAAAGAATCATCTTTTCTCCTCTTTTTTTTTCCTTTCTTTCTTTCTTTTTCTTTTATATTTTTATCCTTATATATAAATATTACTTTATCCTTTTTATTTGATCTTTTATATGTATATTCATCTCTTTTATATTATCTTTTTTTATAATAGCTTATCTTTTTTATCTTTATTTTCGTTCTTTTCCTTTTGGTGATATCATATATCGATTCATGTTAGCTGACCCCAATATCGTTTGGGACTAAGGCTTGGATGTTGTTGTTGTTGTTGTACTCGTTGAAAAGAATCAATATGAACAAGCACTGAGCTAGAACTGATTTTTACAATTTATTTCAAGTTTTGGAATGAATGAGCAAAATGAAACTAGCGTTCTTATTTCAAACCTATACTATATATGTGCACACACATATTCATTATGTGACTGTAAATTATAATATATCCCTGTTGTTCACCAAACAAGCTTTCTAGACAAGTCCAAGATGAATGTATCTGTAACATGACTAATGCTAGTGTCCAGGACCTCAAAATCGCTAAGGGATGGCCCTGTTCATTCCTAGGATTACTATCTTGTATTCTTGTTATCTCACTTTTTAACAGTTTATCTATCACCCCACATCAAATACTTATTTTGAGTTTTTGTCAAAAACATTTTACTTTGAGTTTATTTATTTGCATGAGTCTACATTTTGGTGTATGTTTTTTCCTTCAAATTTTACACCGTGCACTCTCATCTCAATTTCTTAAATACTGACCATTTTATATCATCCTATATTTCCTATGGCCATTTTGTTTTCTCTACCTTTGTGTAGTTACTGCCAGAAATGTCAGTTGGTCAGGTGGGTGATGAAATCTACCTTCCAACTGCATATGACTTTTTGCACACACAAAATATGGCCATACTTATCTACTTCCATCAATCATTAGTTCTACAATTAGCCCATCTTTTTCAACTTAACATAACCTTATGTCTAGTGTGACATCTATCTACCACAACTCCACAAGAGTACCACCTTTTGATGGATCCTTTCTTTGTAGATCATGAACAGATGGAAACTGTGCTTCTAAACAAAATATGTATTCCATTTCTTTCATTTTTTATTTTTTAAAACCATTGCTTACCAGTTACCACTCTTCACTGCATGCCTTTTCAGTAGTTTTTATTTTATTTTAAATTTAACTAAGAAATGGGATCAAACATAAAATCCTCTGGTTTATTACCTTGTAGTTGGTTGGGCTTCTATGTCCTCTTACTAATTGCCCTGCACCTTCTAGGACAGCATACACGACTTGTGGATAAGTCAAAACGTATTTCTTACTAAAACTTATCTCTCTGGTTGTGTTAGTGAGTTGGCGTCCATTAACATTTGTCATGTAAGAAATGAGAAAATGGAAAATCCCATTTATTATCACTAGTTATGTGCTCTCTTGGAGGAACCACTTAGAGGAAGGCACAAATATATTTTTAGTCCCTACAAATATAGAATGTTGTTTTTTAGATCCTTCCACTTGGTTTTCTTCATCCATGTGTTTTATGCTATTCTCTCTTCAGTTCTTGTATAACATTCGAGCAATCTCAGTTAAGGAAAAAATTAATGCGGCTTGAATTATGATTCTAATCTTACAATGTCGATTTTTATAACCTTCTGTAGACTATTAGTTGGGTTAAGCCGAAATGCAACTAATTATTCATGTTTTCTTAAAAGCGAAATGATTTGAAAAGCAAGTTTGAAATCATGCTAGTCAAGTAGTCATGTCAATTTTTTGTTAAACAGAGATTGTTATAGGGTTAAAGTCTTGGCAGAGGCCTCTTGTCAAAATGAAAAGGGGATGCTTGCTCCTTATACTCCCTTGTCGTGGGACCCTTCCTGGACACTCATCTTGCAGGGACCCAATGTGCATCGGGCTACCCTTTTTTATAGACATTGTTTATTGTTATAGGGTTAAAGGGACTAAAAACAAAATAGCATAAATTGCATAGATGAAAAACAAACAAACTATTCTGCAGGGACTTGAAACAACAAGGACTATATTTACAATGACTAAAACCATATTTTGGGCAAATTTTTAAGATTGGTTGGAATGAGTTTATACTCCATGTTCCCTATCCCTGAACCCTCTCCACATTCTTCAAAATGTTTTTTTTGTACAGGTGGCCGAGAGAGCCTTGTTTCTATGGAACAATGATCATATTGAGGGCCTAATAAAACAGAACCGAAAAGTTGTACTGCCAATAATCTTCCCTGCCCTGGAGAGAAATTCCAGAACCCACTGGAACCAAGCAGTCCAGAGTTTGACCCTTAATGTCCGCAAACTCTTCTCGGACATAGACCCTGAGCTTTTCGAGGAATGCTCGCAGAAATTCCAGGAAGATGAATCCCGTGAACAAGAAGTCATGGTGAAACGGGAAGCAACCTGGAAGCGGCTTGAAGATCTTGGCGGCATTAAAGCAGCAAGCAATGAAGCGGTACTTGTCTCTCCAAGAGCGGCAGCGGCGGCCAGTCGTGGCGCTACATCTGGTTAAATTCTGGCCAGGACCCACATCTTGTTTGTTTGTATCACTGACTGAGGAGTTGAATCATCATAACAAACACTGAGGGAGTGAGAAAGATGGACCTCTACACTCATAAATGCATTGGAATTTCTCCAGTTTCACGGGCGACGCTGCATTGATTGGGGGCTGTACATATGGGAATTGGGGTTAAAGAAGTGTCTCCATATTTTATAACTTGAGTCAATTTGGATGATATTAAAAACCTGGCATTCTCTCGGTTTGACTAGGAATTATAGGGTGGCTTCATTTTGCAGGACCCCTTATTCCTCCCTAGATGATTTTGAATTTTTAGTCTTTGTTATCATTATTCTGTGTACTCCTCCCCTATCCTGCACTTATCATATATCCTTATTTGTACCATTTTTTATTATACAATTCTATATATGAGAAGTTTAAGAAATGGTGGCTGCTTCGGCCTTCTGCAGAATCTAGTTCCTAAGTGCATGTCTTCTTTTTTGTTATTTCTTTTACAGAAATTTGTTCAAATTTGGTCGATAATGTAGGTAGTACATAAGTACATTATGTTGATGTACACAGTCAGTACTCGGTAATATCACATGATGTTGATGACTACTACCATATGGATTGAATGATACTCCGTTACAATTGGTAGTTTTTTACTTTTTTGTGTAAAATGTTTTTATCATCTGGAGCATTTTATAAATTTCTTTTTAATCATGTACTCCGTATACTCCCGTCCCGTCCCAGAATTATCTTCATACTTTCCCTTTTCGCCCGTCCCAAATTTATCTTACTTTCACTTTTTGGCAAAGAATTTGTGGTTCATAATCATTCTTACATATTCTTGCACACTTCTCTCTTCTCTGCACAGTTTTCCATCACACATTTTTCACTATCTTAATTTGTGTGCAAGTGTACTTGTGAAGATAAATATGGGACGGAGGGAGTAATATTTTATACAAGAGCTTTTGTATATTTGCTACTCCTCATCTTGCAATTTATCAAGGACGAATTTGGGATTGCCACTGCGTTAAAATTTGATCTCTATTGAAAACACATAATTTGTAAATCCATTACTTTACCTAAGATGTTAAAGCCCGAAACAAAAAGAGTCGTGTTTATTGTACACATTTTTTTATTTACACATTTGACACACTTACACTGACAATTGTATTTGTGAAAGACAAACAATTGTGTCAAAGGTATACGCATAAAATGTGTACATCAAACATTTTTCAACCAAAAAATAATTTTCAAAGCAATGGAAACCAGCCTGACAAACCAAGATAAAGATACACATGGAGTATATTCTCCCCTTTTCCCTACTTTTTAAATATAATCAATTTTACTTTTTCTGCTTTCGAGATTATTTCCCATGACTAATTCGATTCGTAAAATCCGTAGTAGAATATTACCCCTCAATCTCTTTTTTATTCTCTATGTAATACCTAGTATTTGCTATTTATTTTACAGTATTTGACAAACAAATATTATGGAAAGACTGTCCATCAATAAATCTTATTCATCACAACGATATTATATTTGTATTTATAATTAAAACTGACCATTAAAAAGTTACCAGAAAAATTAGTGTAAAAATCAAATTCAAATACAATAAAGCTAGACATAAAAACAAAAGATTGTTAATAATGACAACAAAGATTAAATTAAAACAAAGACGATATTTGCAATTTTATTTTTGATACTACTTTTTTGGATGAGTATACTGAGTAATTACTCCAAAAGTGAATTTGCAGATTCAAACTGAGTTATGATTCCTCATTTTTGCTTCATTCTTAAGCCACTTGGTCCAAAAAAGAGTTTCCTTTACAATCTTTTTTATTTTTGCATCTTACCCAAAAAATACTGTACTCCTTTTGTAGTTTTCTTTCTTTCTTTTCTTCGCAACAAAAAAGAAAAGAAGACTATCTGCTGATCTTATGCTCCATCAGTGATCAGATAGAGCTTGTTCACTACATCCCGTTATTCTCTCTTATGTTAGATCCTTACAAAGCACCAGATTTTTCTCCACCCGCATTCATTTATTGTTTTTTTCTTCTGAAACTGGGAAATGAACATTTTTCTACCATTCTTCTTCTATCCAACTCTTTCCTATTCGCTAGATCTCCGCTCAGGTAGTTTTTAGATTAGATCCATAAATAGTTCCAGCATTTTAAATTTATTCTATGCCGTATTCCCTGGGTAGGACGGAAGAAGTCACTGAGGATTTAGCTTTGATCTTCTCCTAGGAATGAAATAGTTTGGTTCGTTGAAATATGGCGGCAAGTCTGAGACTTTCAGGCTTAAGAGCGAATCTGAAAGTAGCCGCTTTGGTCATTTTTGTGTTGTGGATATGTGTTGCGGCATTGTACAGCCTGACAAAGCCGATATCCAATGGGTGCATCATGACTTACATGTATCCTACTTATATCCCTATTCCCTCGCCGGAGAATGTATCGTCTACCAAGTATGGATTGTATCTGTACCATGAAGGGTGGAAAAAGATTGATTTTGAGGAGCACCTTAAGCATCTTACTGGGGTTCCTGTTCTTTTTATCCCAGGCAATGGCGGAAGCTACAAACAGGTAATGCTCCCACACCCTTCTTATCTGCTTACAACTTCCACCTGCACTATTTTCCATAGCATTTTTACTCGATTTCTGATATGCATGCATAAGTCTTCTATAAAATTGATTGCTATAGCACATTGGCATTTTGTTGAAAACTGAGTGTTTATGCATATAATCTTGAAAGTCCTAATGAATGTCTTGTCTACTTGTCTTGTTAAAGTAAAATAAGTTTGGATTATTATATTAGCTTAATAGTAAACACTGAATAGTGACACAGGTTCTTAATTTAGTTAATTAGTGGCTCTCCCTTTACGACAGGTGAGATCCATAGCTGCGGAATCTGACAGGGCTTATAATGGAGGTCCTTTTGAGCAGTCATTTTACCAAGAAGCCTTTAAAACCCCGGGCAGTGGTGTTCAATTTGATGCTAGAAGCATTCCGTTGCCCAGCAAGTATGCATGCATGCTCGACTGGTTTGCTGTGGACCTTGAAGGTGAACACTCGGCACTGGATGGACGGATACTTGAAGAGAACACAGAATATGTAGTATATTCTATTAACAGGGTATTGTTTTTTCATATGATGATCCTTGGGTTGCATGTTAATGGACTATAAAGTGTATTACTCCTCAACCAAAAATAAAGGATGCACGGACACTCTTCTGTTCTGTCTTTAGTCTCTTTATCCAAGTGTCTGCTGCGACCCATATTAGGTTTTGAATTCACTTACCAGTGCTCTAATATTTATTTATTTTTCACTCCACCCTTGGCATTTACATTCCGTTCACATTTACTGTATTTGCAAAGGGGAAGTCTTGAATTATTAGTAATAGGATAAGTTATCAGCAACCCTTGGTGTAAGAAGGGATTTGTGAAGAATCATTATCTATGACAGTAATATATGCTGGGATTTTTGCTCTCCACCATCCACCATTAATAACAGAAGTACATGACATGTCATTCTAACCACTTCTTCCCTGCCCCAAAAGCATGTGAGCCATCATTATGTAATATTTATCACATTCTCTCACCTCCTAAACTATTTATGTATTTTTGTGCATGTGTTCAATTTGATTTGTTATCTTAACTGCTTTCCTGGCTCCTGTAATTCTGTTTTAATAATTTTAGCTGTTGTATTGTGTGTTAGATTTTGGATCATTATAAAGAGTCTCATGATGCTCGAGTTAAAGAAGGGGCCAATGTATCTATGAATTTTCCAAGAAGCGTTATTTTAGTTGGTCATTCCATGGGTGGTTTTGTTGCTAGAGCTGCAACTGTACATCCACATTTGAGAAAATATGCAGTTGAAACAGTCCTGACACTCTCTACCCCACACCAGTAAAATGCAGCTTTTTGAAAATTTTATCTTGATTGCAGACCAAACATGTAATGTAAACTGATACTCTGGTTTCCTTGTCTAGGTCACCTCCTCTAGCATTGCAACCATCCCTTGGTCAGTACTATGCGCATGTTAATCATGAATGGAGGAAAGGGTATGAAGTCCAAACTTATAGATCTGGGCGTTATCTATCTGATCCATTGCTGTCTCATGTGGTTGTCATCTCTATTTCTGGTGGTTATCATGATTACCAGGTACACATCTCCAGGTCTTGCATTCAATTAAATACCAGAGAAAAACAATTTTGTATGAAGTATATGTCATATCTATCAATGATGTCGTTTTAAGCAATGAAATGTAAAAATTGAAAACCTAGGCTATTCTAGAAAATGTATGCGAGGGTGGTTATGTTTTTTTCCGTATTCATGATATCCTCTATAGCCTTTTAACAAAGTTGAATGTTTTCTTTACATTTTTTATATAATAATAAGTTCTAAATTAGGTGGACACACAACATTCCAGGTCAAGACTGAAAATGGTGATTCCACGTTTTTAGGCGAGTTAGTTGTTGGGTTGGTCATTAAACATGATAAGGGGATTAAGTTATTATTTTCTTCTCTTGCATAGTTGCTTGCTTCCATGATATAATCTGAGACTCCATGTAGTTCTGTAAACTTTTCTTTGTTGAATGACTAACTCACTCCCTATTACGTCTATCATTTATTCAATTGTGTGTAATCATGTTGCTTCACCATAATTGTTGCTTTATGCTTCTGTGATTCCTTAATTTTAGGTGCGGGCAAAACTAGAGTCCCTTGATGGCATTGTCCCTTCCACCCATGGGTTTATGATTAGTAGTACATGCATGAAGAATGTCTGGTTGTCAATGGAGCACCAAGTTATAATGTGGTGTAATCAGCTTGTCGTGCAAGTGAGTGATGCTTCTCAACTCTCAAGTGAATCCATAATTCCATATTGCTTTCACCATTGAAATTCTGAATGCTCCTACTTTTCAGGTGTCACACACACTTCTTAGTTTGATAGATGACAAGACCCATCAACCTTTCATGGATGTACAAAGAAGGCTTGGAATATTTACAAAGATGCTTCAAAGTGCTATACCTCCAAATTTTGACAGGATACAGCACAGACAGTTACCCTACCAATTATCTCATGTTTCTTCTAGCAATCAGAAACTGAGTTCTGGTATCCATATTCTATGCCTTCTTGAGTAATTTGTATACATATGAAATGCTAATATGCTATCATATTTTTTCAAGTGTGTGCTATTATACTTTTCTCTATAGTTGTCAAATCGTGAATAGTTGGATTCACTTCTGAACCCTGACCCTGATTTGCATTGTATGCTTCAAAAGCATTGATGGTGTTCTAAAGTCTAAATGTACCACCCAACATGGTTTATGGACAAAAGTTACATTTTGCTTCTAATATATTCTCAAGAACAATACAGTGCTACCAAATAACATCTTTGTTTCTCTTCTTAGCTCTTACGCTTAGGGAGCCACAGAAACTACACGAAGAAACAGACCCACTAATGCGCACATTAACTGAAAGTCAATGGTAGTAGTATATGTGAGTCGAAGTGAGAAATGTGCATTAAAAATACACAAATAAACTAAAGCTGTAATACTTGTATTAGAAATACAATCTCTAAGTCCTAACACACATTCAAATTGATTCATGCAATGCACACAAATTTTTTCTCCATTTTCTGTGCAATTATCAATTTTGTATTTGTGTAGTTGGAATCTCAAATCAAACCGTGTTATTCCTAATGTGAATAGCAAGCATGATACAAACAACTTCACTTTTCTCTATTATATTTTTCTTTGGGAGTGCCCGTTGACATGAATTGAAATCTAATGGACCTTTACTCTATATTTGGACATCATCATCAGCAACAACAACATTACCACAGTGCCGCAAAGGCTCCCACCTTTGGTTGGGTAAGTGGGGGTCGGATGTACGCAATCTTACCCTTATACTAAAAGCACAAAGAGACTGTTTCCGAATGACCCATATTGAAAACCGCGTCGAAAATTGCATGGATCAGCGGCTGCTTCATAACAAAGAAGCGCAGACAGTTAAGTGAGCTATTTTTCTTTATTCCATCATATTCCGAAACCAAAAAATAGGAGTCTTTAGCTCCATTGCAAATGATGGGAATAATGAAATTCACCAAATGGCTAGAATGTGTTTTGGGAGTGGTGTGAGCTTTACTTTTGACGCACCATAAATGAGTTCCAATTGATTTCTATTCAGTGGTGTTGGTGAAAGTGCAATTTGACGATTAATACCCTGGGTCCCGTCATACTTACATTTTGATCAAATGTTGGACCTTACAGTGAAAGAGTTCCAATTGTTTTTGGCTCCATCATTTCCAATGGAGCCAAATACTCACTATTTTTTGGCTTGGGAATATAATGAAAATCTGGAATAAAGCAAAATGATTCACTAAACTGTTTGCTCTTCTTTGTTATTAAGCAACAGTCAATCCATGCAATTCTCACGCGGGTCATCCAGAAATAGTCTCTCTCTGCTTTAGTACGGGGTATGCTGTGTACATCCGACCCCCTTTACCCCACCCTAGGTGGGAGCCTTTGCGGCACATGGGTAATGTTGTTTTTGTTCAACCTTATTGTTAATTGATTTATTGGGATGCAGGACCTGAGGGTAGTAATTTTACTTGCCCTAGAAGCACCCATTGGATTGATGATGGACTTGAAAGGGATCTTTACATCAAAACAACTACTGTGACCATTTTAGCAATGGATGGAAGGAGGCGTTGGCTGGATATCCAGAAATTGGTGAGATAAAATTATAGTTCGTCTACAACATACTTGTCTCATAGACATGGTTACTATAAGAGTTTCCGCTTTTGGTTCTTCGACTATGGTGGCATTGTCTTTTTAAGTCCTCAACAATCAATTTGACCTCTTGTCCCTCAACTTTTTGAATTTCACCAAAGTTCAGTAATATAAGTGTATTTTTGAAATGTCAAGGGATCAAACGAGGCCATCTTCAAAGAGAGTGTTGAGTATTAAGAGCGGCAATGCCACTATAGTTGAGATCAAAAGAGATTTACATCTTAATTTAGTGTTTATTACAGTTTTCCATTGGGGATTTGCATGCCTGCTACTTGCTCCATAAACTGTCGTTGTTGATTTACCGCTCTCTTGGAATACTCAGGGACCAAATGGAAAAGGTCACTTTGTTTTTGTCACAAATCTATCTCCTTGCTCTGGGGTAAGACTACACCTTTGGCCTGCAAAAGGAATCTTGACTTCAGATATTTCTGTTAATAAACGGATCGTAGAAGTAACTTCAAAGATGGTAAATATCCCCTCAGGACCCGCTCCAAGGCAGGTATTTGTTGCTATGAACTCTTGTTTTTTGACTAATTGCTGACTTGCTGTATAAGTAGTAGATAACTTTTCCTGAAATAATTATTTAATAGATAGAACCCGGGAGTCAGACTGAGCAAGCATCTCCTTCTTCCATTTTATGGTTGCACCCAACTGATATGCATGGATTTCGATTTCTGACAATATCAGTGGCACCTCGCCAGGTATTTATCTTCTGCATCTTTGAACTCATGCATTAATATTTCCAGTAATAGTTGTAATTAACTCTCTTGTGGGATAAATCATAAATGAATTCACTATTTTATTTCTCTGAACTAGATATTCCGCCCTTATGATAATTACACGACGTGGCTTCTGATGTTTCTTTTGTTTACTTGTTGGTTTGTCTTTTCATTCATTGTTTTCTTTTAGTCATATTATAACAGTCAAATCTTCGCGTTTCCTATCTCATCCCCTTTTTTCGTCAACCAAATTGTTGAGCTCATTGAACATTGTGCTGTTTAGAGCTTTCTAATTATTGTCATGTAGTTATGATTTTTATTTATCTTACATTCAGAACAGCTAGGATATCTTAAATGTAATTCAATACTCAGCTTAGCATTTTTAACTTAATTGGCCTCTGTGGTTCACATCAAAGCTTTTAATAATAATTAAAAGTTCCATTTCAGAAAGTATAACTTCAGAGCTTATTTCCTGCATAAAGTGTAGAGCTTTCTTGGTCTTTGGTGGTTGCTCTCTCTCTCTTTGAAGAAATCTGCGGTTGCTTCTTTTTCATTCATTTTTTATATGGCATCAAATGATCATTAACACAAAAGTTCTTCTCTTTGGGTTTTGAATATTGTTATTGTTTGACTGCATGTGCATACAGTAACCTTCTGATGCTCAGACTGTTTCAGGAAGACCACCCCCAGCTACTTCAATGGGCGTTGGACAATTCTTTAATCCAGATGAAGGGGAAATAGAGTTGTCTCCTCAATCAGTGATTCCCATGATATACAGTCAAAAGGTTAGTATTTTTAAAATTCAGTGCTTGACTGGTATTTAACTGCTAATGGACTTTTTTAAACTGTAAATGGATCTGCTGTGAAATGACTTAAAAACACCGCAGGACATTCTATTGAAAGAAGATCACCCTCTTGTCATCAATATTTGGTTCTCCATTAGCTTAGCCATTCTGCCTGTAACAATGTCTGTTAAAACCACTGGTTGCGGGATACAAAAGTCAGAATTCTCAGCTGATGAGACAGGAGACATGGATATTAGCAGTAAGAATATCTCTACCCCCATGCCAACCATTTTAAAAAAATAGAAAATGACATTCGGTGGTTCCAAGTTTGTATTTTTTATAATTAGAAAGACTATTCTTTTAGTTTTAAATGGTTCTGAGTTTCTGACTAAACAATCTAGAACCAAGTTCCAGATTTTTTCAAGATGCATGTTTCTATGTTTAATGCTCAACTTTCCTTTGTCAGATCAGAGTATTTTATCTTATATAGTGTGATGAATTGGTCATTTTTCGAATTTATTTTTGAAGTTGCCGTTGAAAGTGATGAAGACTCAATGTTGTGTTAAGGATCTAGGGACTTTGCAGTGTGCTTGTTCAGTTGTTCTCTTACTAATTGTTGCCTCATTAATAGGAACCAAACACAAATATTCAGTCATATGCTCACATTAGAATATCCAATCTGTTTTAGCGTGATGAACTGGATACTACTATGCATTGCTTTCATGTCAAATATACTTTCAAGCCTGATCCTGACTAGTGATTCACAATACCTTTTAGTTCAAATAATATTTCTTTGATTCGACAATGTGTTGCAAACTCTCTATTTCCCTGGTAATTCAGGTCTTTGCAAGCTCCGGTGCTTCCCACCTGTAGCTATGGCATGGGATGCCTCGTCTGGGCTTAATGTTTTCCCTAATTTGTACTCTGAAACTATTATGGTGGATTCCTCTCCGGGAGTCTGGAGTTCGAAACCAGGTTCAGAGAAGACAAATGTACTATTGCTGGTAAGTTAAACTGAAACAGTAGTCATTTTGTGGTTCTACTTAACACATTTAATCTTTAGAGTTGTTTTATGCCCTTCTTTGCAGATCGACCCACACTGTTCATATAGAACTAGTTTTGACGTTCCTATCACCACTGCTGCTGGAAGGTTTATACTTTTATACTTTTCTCAGGTGATAACATATTTCTCATTATCTGATGCAGTCTAAACTTTTCCTGATAGTTGGATATGACTAATTGGCTATCATGGTGAAAAGAAATTGAAGTGATGCTTAAACAAGCTATACATAGGTAGCTGGCCACAATTTAAAAGATTTTACCCCCCACCCTATCTTATAGTTGGATGCCATTTAAACCATCTGTTAGTTTTGGTTGTCAGTTTAGATTTTTTAGATTATTGTTTGATACTTCCAAAATGATTATTTAGACTTCTTTGGTTATATGTGCTACAGATATTTGGGTTTTCAATTGCTGTTATCTTTTTCGCTTTGATGCGGCAAGCATATGCATGGGAAATTGATCTGCCCATTCCTTCACTTCTTTCTGCTGTCGAGTCAAATTTGAGATTGCCATTGCCATTTATCTCTCTTGCCCTAGTGCCCAATTTTCTGGTTTTGCTACACTCTTACCTATTCTCCCAGCCGCTTGCTTCAGTCATAAGCTTCATTATCATCTCAACAATTTGTTATTTATTTGCAAATGGGTTAATGTTGGCGCTGATTGCGATATCTCTGTTGGTGTTCTATATAGCTGCAACTGCACATGCTTTTTTCAAGAGACGGTTAGTACTATTGTGTATATGAATGTACTCTCACTTCTCCTTGTACATTATACATGCCTCTAGCCCTTTTTAAAAGTATTGCTAAACCAAAAATGAGCTAATGATTTACAGGTGGCGGACATTCGAAAACAATGAGCGTTTATACTTTCCCCAATGGTTTCTGAGTCTTTCATGTGCTGTTTTGTCATCTAAGGTAATATGCCATTCTCATTTAATAAGTGTTCATGATTCAATTTTTAATCCTCAGTTTCTTACAAAACAAGACTGGTTTTGCATATATTCCTTCAATCCAAGACCGGTTTTGCATAGCTTCCAGAAATAAAATAGGCAATTGCTCGATTTAAGTTTCAAGCTGTAAATCTTAGCAGCTGAAGCTTGTAGACTCCAGAAAACTGAATTTGTTGGATATGTTTTGTATAACTATTAAATTTCAAAAATCACATGGATCGGTGATTTATTCTGATCTTTTATGCCTGAAGCAGGTGGTGAGGATAATAACATCCCATCCTTCACCTGTTATTGCTCTGGTTGCCTTTCCAGTTGTGTGCCTTGTTCATCCTGCATTGGGTCTCTTTTTGTTGCTTTCATCTCATGCTGTCAGTTGTCACAATGCTCTCTCAAGGTAGGTACTTCCAAGCCAAGGTTTGTCTCGCCTGATGTTTGGTCTTGGCTTGAATACTTTAAACCACTGCACTAAAAACAATTGTTCTTTTTGTAAACAGTTTTTTACTGGCCTCATTTCGCAGTCATGTACAAAATGAAGAGTCAAGAGGAGGGTCTGGAGATGGAGAAATGAGTAAATACAGGCAACACATCCCCAAGTATAATGGTCAAAGTAATAAACTTGTCCCCCTGAACGAAAATATTTCTAGTGGCCTGGAGAATGTGAAAAGCTATGCTGAAACACAGTTAGAGATTTTTCACCACAGACATGGCCTGCTTATCTTGCATTTGCTTGCCACGCTAATGTTTCTTCCCTCTCTTGTGGCCTGGCTTCAGGTATTCAATTTTTTTATTATCTTCTTTTCTTCTATTTCTTGTTTGGTCACAAGTGGCGATGCAAAACCTAGGACCTATGGTCTTCACCTGAAAAAAGGTTGACGTGAACGGAATTCTGATTTGCTCTAAATCTTTGTGGTCTGATTTTATCCAATTTTTTATAGATCTATTTAAAATAAGAATAAGTAATAAGAAGAAAGGTGAAGAAAAATTTGGTAGGCAATTTCCCTGTCTTATGAGCAAGGTTTTTTTTTTGCCTAAGCCCAACTTATGTCATTGGGTTGGTTGAATCGGCTGCTTGATAAAAAGCGGTACGTAAATTACTTTGGGCTGAAATTGCTTAGATGAATGATTACGTACTACAACCTTCATATTTGTATATTCTTTTTTTAAAAACTCATTTTAAATAAATGATTTAGATAATTCAACAGACTCAACCTTCCCACCACAATTTCACCCTATTCAGCCAGCCAAATTTGCCATTTCAGGTCTTATCAAAAATACTCATCATTGTTCTAAGGATATAAGAACCATGCAGTGTAAATAGGACAAGAACACCACTCACACACATGACATAGCAGTACAACACGTGGAAAAACGCCCCCACGACCAATTTTTATGTAAAAAGTGTTGTACTTTTTTATTCATAATTGGGGGCAGACTTGCTATTTGTTCCTGGGCGGTTGTATTATTATTTCTTATGCTGGGATTCCTTACATGGACAGAGGATCGGAGTTGGTCAGAGCTTTCCATGGTTTTTGGATTCTATACTGATTATTGGTGTTCTGCTACATGGCATTTGTGATCCAAGGCCCGAATTCAACTTCTTCTTTCCCTTTCCGGGCTTCAAAGGGCAGTGGGAGATAAAACTAAGCTTAGCATATCTTCTTGCTGGATATGTATCGTACCTTTCCGGTCTGGCCTTGACTCCTTATACCACATTCTATGCGATAGCCACCGTAGGGTTTGTATCATTTGTTTTCAGGGTCATACAAAGAGACAAGGGTAGCAGCCGAAAGCACTCTCATCATAGACAATAACTAACAGGTTTTGTTAAATGATTAATGTATGACGATTCACTAAACTTTCATAGTTTCATGCCACAATTTTGCAATGGTAATGAGTGATTACACAGGGTTTGTACTGAAGAAAACAATGCACCATTTAACTTAGAGTAGTAAGGGCAGGGACAGGCCAGTTCTGGACCAGCTGGTTCACGGTCCGACACAATCTATACCCGTAACCGAGACTAATAAATTTGAGTACCAGTCCCAAACCGGTTCCTGTTCCTGCTCCAAACTGATTTGTAGCCAATTTCTGAAAAAAGGAAAAAAAGGAACTGTAATCATCCAGTTAAAAGCGTTATACACATACAAACAGGAACTGTACCCAGCTTGGACCCATTCCCGGTAATGATTCCGTTCTGGTTCCCATTCAAATGGTCCCGGTTTGGGTCATTTAACTGCCCAATTCCAGCCGGGTTTCCTGAATCGGCCCCCCTCCTATTGAGTACATATATTCAATCAATGATCACACACAAATTTTAGGTGTAGGAAATTATTGAGGTTTCAAAACCATGAGTGATAGTGTTGTTGCTCATCTTGCCATGGCAAGCCGCCGCTGAATGTGTGGAGTACTTGGTCTTTCAGGCCGGTGTCTATGACCTCACAGAATCGGTTCGACCAGTCTGGAGGTTCAATCGCTCTGGTTCCTAAGCCAGGTGCTCGATCTTTAGAGCCAGTATTCTGATCCTGTTTCCAATCAGACACATAGGTAGCCACCCTCCTATGGAACTTCTCCTTAAAGACTTGCCACACCTGGTACTTGTAGTGGTTCACTGCCATCAAGCTTGTGTCTATATTAACATATCTGTATTCTGGGCTCAGCCCGAAGTGGTGGACCACATTCATCAATGTGGGGTCCAATGCCTGCGGTCGGACTATACTCTTGTGCCTCTCGGCCTGTGCAAGCCGGCACGTGTAACCCACAGTTACTCCTTGTTCCGGGACCTGTTTGAATCCTGACGGGCCAAAGCTATGGCATGGGACCCGCAACTCAGCAATAGAACTAGGTTGTAGTGTTAGAACGTGCTGGATAGATGTTCGAGCCGGCAAGTAAAAGAATTCGTCCACATCTATGAACCCAACCCACTCGCACACGTCTCTTGCTCGAAGTGCGCAATGGGCGAACCCAGACTCTTGGCTTTTGATCCAAGGCCACACATGTCGTGTGACGTTGTATGATGCCTTTAATGAATCAAGTACGTCCTTGATGTTGTCGTTGCTGTTGTTATCGTAGATGAACCAACGTTGCACCCCTATCTCGGCATGATACATTATCCACTCTCGCAAGAACCGTGCTTGGTTCATTAACATGGTGCAAACGCACATGCTGTGCTTTTTCCTCCCATCCATCAGGCCAGGGTCTTTTAGTTTGACTTGGGGCCGGGCCACAGAGTCCAATGGTCCTTTCCCAACCATCCTAACTGAAACCTTAAGGGTTTTAGTGCCAAACCTCCTTAAGCTGCTGAGTATGCTCGGAGGTGTTTTACACCTTACAACTTCTTGGGCTATTGACACAACCTCGGAATGGAGCATGCGTTTCGTTTTCTTGAGATCCCAACCATAGACACACCTGAACTTGGATGGATCAGATGCCTTTCCACCCCTTAGACGGAAGCCCTTCACGAATACAACTGTTGTGTTGTCCCTGTCAATAACTGCCTCATAAGCAAGTGAATCCCAATTGTATGTGGGTCCTGCTGGGAGGTAGTGATGGTGCGGCTCCATCTTCACGGCAAGGGACACCGAAGAGCCATGTGGCGGAAGTTCGCACCGTATAATCTGGCGGCCGGAGTGCTCATCATCAACTGACTTGGGTGGAGCTGGTGATGAAGTGTAGCCCGCTGGTGAAAAGTAAACGCAGTCAAGCTCTCCTCTGGTAAACAGCCTCGTTAACCGGGGGTATTCTAGGAAAAGCAGTGCCTCGTCCGGGGTTATGACGGTTTCTTGAATTGAGACCTTTGAAAAATCAGACGAGTTGCCGGAGAGCACTGCCAACGCTGCAGATGCATCACTCCAAGTCGTCACCAGTCGTGGAGAATAGTACCCTGTTAGTTGTTCAACAAATTAATTATATTATTATTGTTATTAACTCATTCTTCACGCAAGCAATATTTAATTATTTCTTTTCCTGCTAAAGGAAATAAAAAAACTTTAATCTAAACTGAATTAATTAATCAAAAATTAATCACGGGTGGTTTGGAAAGTACCTAGAGAGAAGAGGCGGCTAGGGGAGAAAGCAAAGCTGGAGAACAAGAAGACGATGACAAAAAGTGAGCATAAGAAAAGCTTGCATGGATATAGCTGTGTAAATGACGACAAAGCCCCTCTTCGGCAATTTTTCACGACGGAAGTCATCATATAAAAGTACGTCCTGACCGGCCGCCGATGATCTTTCCGACCACTAACAATCTTCTCCTGCGTGTGAGATATTATGATGAATCAATCATTCAATCATATTATAGCTTGTGGGTGCTTCACAAATAATTACTGTACCACCATATACTAGTCTTATAATCATATCATATTATATATAGAAAAGATAGTCAAACGTATATAGATTTTAGCACAAGTTTTGAAGTGGCATCTCTTACCTATTCTTTTCTCTCTCTAGAAGTCTCCTTTCAATAAGAAATAAGAAAAGAACCTTTGTCGTGGTGTATTCTTATACCATTGGAGTTTGATACTTAGGACCACCGACGGCGGCTCTACCTTCCTCGCATGACATCAAGGTTTAAGTAATTTTCGGCAAAGACCTAAGAGGCCCTTCCTCTAACAACTTTATTTATACTAGTTCCTCTAGTTTAAACGTGTTTAATTTGGTCTTTGTGTTATACTAGGTATAATTTAGTGCGATCAAAGACAATTTTATACCACGTTGACAATTTCCGTTACATCTTGTTGTGTTGCGTTGAATAGTTGATATCAATTCTATGTTGGACTGACTATGATTTCGATTAGGAATTTTATTACTATCCCGTCCCATTAACAATTAACATTAGGACATGAGAGGACATGAGTTTGTTTGAGACATAATAAAATAATAAAGTGAGTTTGTACAATTTAGAGTCATACAAACTTTACTAAATTTGGTATGTGACAATCATAATGGGACTCTCGCTAAAAGAAAAAATGAGGCAATTTTAGCAGGACGAAAGGAGTATAATATATAGAAGCTATAATAACACAAAAGACAACATCCAGACAGTTATTACAGATCCGATCGTAAGACCAATGAATAGACATGAATTTAGCTACTTCATACAAAATAGTTTCCCGGAAATGAAACACTACCCATCAAAAGAATTCTAAATATCTAAATACCTAAATCAAAACTACTCGAACTAAAATAAAAAAGTACTATTAAAGAAAAAATAATGTTGGAATAAATCATTGACACAAAATTCTTCTTGGAACGGGTGGTTCTGGAGGAGGATGAGCTGTTGTAATATGGATGAATACTAAATTTATTTTCTAATTTCATTATGAATAGATGTAGTCATGTAGAAACAGTTAGAGTAAAAAGTAATCTTTATATGCCTCCACCATTTCTCTATGCATCACAAAAGAAGGTAGACAGAAACTCCATGCTAGGTGAAGTTGGCTAGGACTTAGGAGCCCAGGGCACCAAAGCAACTTCCCACACCGAGGAAGACAAAACACACCGGAATTTCAGTGTTCGAGAAAGAATTACCATAGAATAGAACAAATACAACAATAAAAGAATAGTCAAGTTAAGTCATACCCTATCAAGAATCTCCGGGAGCGAATGTCACGATACCTTCCAAAGAAGATGTTAATGACGGCTGCCAATTATCATCACTCTGTAATTGTCATTCTGGAGAAAGACGGTTGCCTGCTAGGGGTTATTGTGGCAGCTGGCTCTCAAAATGGCAGCTGGCTCTCAAAATGGCAGCTGGCTCTCAAAATGACTGTCTCTTTGAGTTCCATACTTTTTATTCTTCTAGAGATATTAATCTTATCGGAGAAACAATGATTTTAATCTTTTGGCAATTACATCTAAGTGGCAATCACGTTAGTCGGATATACAAGATGAGGATATGTAAATACTTTTATAAAATTACATTTAATAAAGAACATTTTCATGCTATTTTTATATTATAAGTAGTAAATACTTTTCAATAAAAATATGTAGTTGATCAACGTTTTAAGGAACGGATGAAGTATGATCATTTTGACATGTACTATACACTATGTAATACTCCGTATGTAATTATATAAAGAAGGGAAAATTGTCAAATAAGTCCATGTACTATTAACAAAAAGTCAATTGAGTCCATGTACTTTTTATTGAGTCAATCAAGTCCACAAATTATAAAAAAACGACCAAATAAGATTTTTAGTCGGTAGTCAACCGGTTACCCGGTTAACCACCGACGTGGATGTCCCATGTGGCATTTTGTTACTATTTTCCATATTTTTTAGTTTTGTTTCTTTTTCCCTTTTCTTTTTCCCGTTTTCTCTTCCCTCTTTCTCTTTTTTCCTCTCTTTCTTCTTTCTTCTTGGTCGGCAACTCCGCACCTCTTCTCAGTCGCACCTCTTCTCCTTCGCAGCCCCAACTCTTCTCTTCCCTCTTCTCCTGCTCGATCTTCCTTCTTCATTTTCTTTCTGTCTTGTCGCACCAATAACCCTCCAATACTCTCACCGGAAAAACTTCTCCAATTCTCCCACCGGAAAAACTCCTCCAATACTCCCACCGGAAAAACTCCTCTAATACTCCCACGGGAAAAACTCCCACCGGAAAAAATCCCACCGGAACCACTCCTCCAATACTCCCACCGGAAAAACTCCGCCGCCCCGGCCTCTCTAGCCACCACCCTCCGCCTCTCAGCCTCCATAGCCACTTCCGCCATACATACCGCCTCCGGCCGGCCACCACCTGTGTGACCTTCCTCTTCCCCTCCTCCGTCCTTCCCCTTGAATCGACCTCCAGCGGCGTCGGCTTGCATAGCCGTCGCCATTACCACTGGACCCACAGCCCCCGGCTTCCACCTCCACAGTCTCTACCTCCGCCTATTCCATAGAACGATCTCCAACCACCAGGCCTTCTCCACCGGACCAGATCTGTAGTTGTAAGGAGGGAAGAGATGAGTGCAGACCAAAGGATGAGCAGACCAAGAAGACAGAAGAAAGAGAAAAAAAGAGAAAAACAGGAAGAGAAAAAATAGAAAATAGTAAAAAATGCCAGCTGGATGTACACGTAGGCGGTCAACCGGACAACCGGTTGACAACCTATTGAATTGTTGGTTTGGTCATTTTATGACAGTACATAGACCTGATTGACTCAAAAAAAAGTACATGGACTCAATTGACTTTTTGTTAAAAGTACGTGGACTTTTTTGACAGTTTTCCCTATAAAGAATCTCCGCTCAATTACTAGCGCTCGGTTCAGATGGAGAGTAAATCACGTTTGTAAGAGCAATTGGACTAGCTAATTACATCACGAGCAACATAATGATTATATTGATTTTAAATTGATTTGTCCACTCAATTTTTATTCATTCTTTAAATTGATTTTTTAGCATCTAAAAGCTCATAAGGGGAAAGAACGATGATGTGCCGCCTCTCCAGAACCCCTCTCGTGTAATCGTGTAAGGCGTAGTTTGACGACAAGAGTTTCTTACTTTACCACTAGCGAGTGCGAGGAGAGAGCGAGAGTAGCAAAAGAAGTGGATGCTCTTGAACTAGCATGTGGTCGAAAATGGGTGGAGGTAAATGAAGAAGGCTTGATCGAGGGGGCCTCTTCAGAATCGGCTAAATGGGTGGATTTCATGCCTGAAAAAAGCTACTAGCACATAAAATTTGTACACATTTTATGTACACTCTCTAATTGCTACACATGCAGTTCGTTCAAGAATCGCCTATGTACAAAATGTGTACAAATTTTGATGTACATGTAACACGACCGTTCATGCCAATATGAATGATTACCTTGGAATGATTAATATATCTTCTTTTCTTTAAAGTAACTGTAGCATCAATGTGGAAACCCATTAAGGGTTTCTTGATTACCGATTTGGGATCGCCACATTATTTTTTAAAATTTCACCATAAGGATGATATGAATAGAATTTAGAGTGATCAAATTTGGTTATGCTTCATAAGTTAGAAGATGTAGATCTCTCGTTGTTCCGCTAGGAAAGTTAGTTTTTTTTGGGTTTGGTTCCATAATAGGCTAATAGCCAATTGGGTTTTTAACTCAATCCTTCTCGGAAAAATTGGAAATTTCATTGCCTCTTTCAGACATATAAATCAATATAAATTTGGGGGTGTGGAAATCATACATTTGCACCAAGGTAATTAACACTAGATATTGGGAAACCTCTAAAGCCGAGATTGACGTTGAAAAGGGGAAGTAGAACTCAATATGAAAAATTGTCCAATTTGTCTTTGTTTATGTGGCATTATTGGACATGGAGAAAATCCCGAAAATGCTAAGGAATTGACTAATTGAGAGGCTTTATAGACTATGCATGGCTAAGGGCTGTAAAAATTGGAAGTAGAAATAAATGGCTAGTTCCAAATGGTGGTGTGTTGGGGGGGGGGGGGGGCAGAGCCGTTTTTTAGGGGTTTAATAGGTTATCCAAAACAGGATCCCGAGATTTATTGGGCCCCAAATTTTTAAAAACTTAGTAGTATTTTTTTTGTGCAAAAAAATTAGTAGTATTATTTAGTAACATGTAGTATTATATATTACTATTAATCAGTAAAATACAGTTAGCTAGTAAGGAAGAAAAATATAGATTTGTCATTTTTTCGTTAGCCCTTTTACTCTTTTAGTTCTCTTTTAATCGGTATTCAATTGATTTGAGTATAAGTATTTGAATTGATTTTATTTTTGATTTTTTATTTTAATGCGGGGTCCGAATTTTACATTTTGAATGGGGGGGGGGGGGCAGAGCCGTTTTTAGGGGGTTCAATGGGTTATCCAGAACGGGGGTCCCGAGATTTATTGGGCCCCAAATTTTTAAAAATTTAGTAGTATTTTTTTTTGTGCAAAAAAATTAGTAGTATTATTTAGTAACATGTAGTATTATATATTACTATTAATCAGTAAAATACAATTAGCTAGTAAGGAAGAAAAATATAGATTTGTCATTTTTTTCGTTGACCCTTTTACTCTTTTAGTTCTCTTTTAATCGGTATTCAATTGATTTGAGTATTAGTATTTGAATTGATTTTCTTTTTAATTTTTTATTTTAATACGGGGTCCGAATTTTACATTTTGAATTGGGGACTCCAAATTCATTAGATGGCCCTGGGGGGACGGAATTTGGATTGTGGGGTTGGATGGGTAGAAAGGAGGAAGCAACTCAGAACAAAAAATTGAAGAGTGGAGGAAGAGGAAGGGTTGGAATTTGGAATGACTTGCCAAAATTTTCAAACTGAGCCTACTTGAAGGCATACTAATTTGGGAATCTAGTTTCTAGTATTAGACTTAATCCTTGCATTTTTTTTATTTAATCTGTTTATTTATTTATTTTGACACTTGCATCTTTTTTGTGAGTTTTTGACATTTTGTGGTGAAATAATGTTTACTAATCAATTTTAAAGCTCCTAGAGACGATTTAATCATCAAAGCTTTTGCATGATTAATTACTCAAATTGCTTTTAGGTAATCATCTTTATGTCGAATCAGGTGAGAAGATTTTTGAGTTGTGTACTTGTGTTAGAGTCTAATATGAGGAGGTTGTCTGGGCATGTTGAGTCTATTACAAGGATGTTAGCTGTGATTATTTTAAAATAAATCGTTAATTACAAGCTTAGGGTTCTATTGTGCTACAAGGTGGGAGATGCAATTAATGTACATCTATGTTAATTGATAAAAATGATGTACAAGTGGCCAGTAGTAGTGTCTAACATTTGTATTATTTGGATTTTGATTATTCAAATTATAGTAAATCTGGCTGACGTTCCAAATAAGCTTCAATGTTATACAACCAACCTACTTTGCTAAGAACTTTTATCTTAAGTTATTAAACATAGAATTATATATGTCACTTAATTCGCTTTGTAGCCTAGACATTGTGGGTCATCAAGTTGTGACCCAACGATCCATAATTTATGTATATTTCATTTGTATATAAATCTCAAATCTTCTTATTCTAATAATGCAATTGAAAAATGTCAAGTACCTTATGATGCGATGACATTTTATAACATTATCAAGGAAAAGATCACAAGTTCGAAAACATACTCCTATTAGAAAGAAGTGATGTCATTGGAAAGGCTATATTATGTCCGTAAACAAAATGTACCTTCAAAATTTTATCAAAAAATCTGTTTGTACCCACTTATGTACACATATTTGTACTCACCCATCTATCTTGTCTGTGTACACAAGCAATTCGTTAAAAAGAAGACATCATTTGTTTTTTAATTTCCTGTGTACACAAGCAATGTACAAAAGTGTGTACAAAAGTGGATACATGAACTCAATTTTTTTTGGTCCAGTCTTACATCCCTTTGATGACATAATGTGACGCTTTAGAGTGTGATTACCTACTAATATGTTTGAAAGTCATACTTTACGGGTGTTGTATTCAAATTCATTGTGAATTTGTAATGAATTTCATATTCCATTGGCTTTGGATTAATAGCAAGTTAGCAACCTAGTTGGTCAGAGTATTACGGTATAGAAAAGAAGGAAATGAAAATACTAGGAAAAAATGAAGAATCGAGATGTTGCGGCAGAGTGTAAAGAGAGGAAGAGTCAAAAAAGTAAATATAGAAGTTAATAAGATTCATAGGAGTACTAATTAGGAGTGGCTGCGGTTTAACATTCAGTTAAGTAATTTACAATTAAGTGAGAATTGAGATGTCAGTAAATATGTTTATGATACATAAATACATTGATCGTACCATAACGACTGTTAATCAAATACGAAGTAACATTTAATCATAATATAGGTTAACTATTAATTGTCAACCATCTTCGTAAGTGGAGACGCGTTCACTTGAATTGTGAAGATGGGCCTACCATGAAGCAATTGGGAACTTGAATTTGAGAAAATTCACAAGAGACGTCGAATAATCAGATTGCGAATTTCGCGAGATGCTATTATTGACTTATTGTTGTTGGTCAAATGGATAGTCAAGATGGGGCTTCATCATCCCAAAATCTTTAAACTCTTCATTTGAACTCTATGAATTCATATTGGATTTCTTGAACGAAATGAAATTGGGAGTAACATATTAAGAGGCCGTTTGGCAACACTGTTTTTCGGCTTATCAGACTTATCAGCCAACTTTTTCACCAAACACGTAATTTTTGTTTTCACGCGTTGAATTGTGTAATAAGCAGAAAAAGTAATGTTGAAGTTACTTTTCCGGCTGTATTGGCTGAAGTTACTGTAGATGGTCATTTTAACTATTTTTACATATAATTTTTTCTTTATTTTATTAATAAAATATATTTTAAAAATATTTTTTTTCTTAAATCAGCAGAATCAGCCAATGCAGCCACTTCAGTTAGAACTTCATAAATTTCAGCAGAATCAGCCAAAACAGCCGATTTTCGTGCTACCAAACGGGCTCTAACTTTGGAGTATCGATTAATAAGAAGTAGTATATAATTACAAAACTGTAACCGTATTGTAAATAGTTTTTTTCTTCCCAATTGATTGGTTAACTCTACCGCATGAATTTGAAAACATGGCATGGTTATAAAAATATACCGGTTTTTCATAGGCCAATGCTTAGTAGTAAATCGATTAAGGATTCTGTTTAGATGTAAGCAAGACCAAGAGAATATAATCTTAACTTAGGATTACATTTTTAGATTTTATTGATCGAAATGATGCAATAACGTTAAGCAAATGCACTTTTTGATAATAGTAGAAGCAATTGCGCGACTTCGCAACAACTGGTGATTGAACATGCTTAACCAATGTATACGTTAATGCAAGAAAAAAATATTTTGCATGCGGATACACAAGGAAGTAAACAAATTGTGTCATTTGATTTGATTATTTAACATAAATTACATAGGACATTTTAAAACTATACTCCGTATCATATAGCCCAATGTGAACCATTTAATATAAAGCACTGTAGCGATTTTGTACGGAGTATGTTATTTATATATGGAGTACATGATTTGCAAAGTTTTAGCGAATCTATCACCAGCTAGTTTCAACATACATATCCTTATAAATTGTCTACAATTTTTTTGGACCCTAGGCGACATAATTACATGTTTATGACTAATAAAAAGGTCATTTAAAAAAACGTAACTTAAGTGTAGTGATCATAGTAGTACTTTAGATATGTAATAATTTATGCTTAGCTGTCACAGTTAAATGACCGTTACACTATATCTATAGTAACTTTAAGAGAAAATTCCCGAAATAGGAGTTAAAATGTTTGGAATTCCAAAACGTGTCTGCCATATTTTTATTCCTTAAAAAAAGTAATTACTATCAAGTTTGAAAAATACTTCCATGTTTAATATCTACAATAATAATCCCTAGGCGGGTAAGCTGACAAATTCCATTTGAATGTAATTTCTAAGGATTTTTTCTTTTGGACTGGAATTTGCTGGTCTGGTCTGTTTAAGTCTGGTCTGGTCTGATTTGGTCGGTTTATGTCTGGTCTGGTCTGAACTGGTCTGGTCTGGTAAATGTCTGGTCTCTGTGTATTTTATAACTACGGAAGTCTGGTCTGGCCTGGTCTGGTCTGTTTAAGTCTGGTCTGGTCTGGTCTGTTTAAGTCTGGTCTGGTCTGGGACTGAAAACAGTCCAAAAGAAAACATCCTAAGACTCTGATTAATTCTCTCTCCTCTGCACAAAAGCTCAAGAACACAATTTTTACTTTATTAATCCACCTGTCAGTCAAAAGAAGTGACGCTGGAGTAAATATTTTAGATTACCAATCATTTTCTTTATCAAATGTTGAGCTTTAGACTTACGCGTTGAATTGCATAATCATCAAAATAAGTGATGATTAAGCCATTCTATGCATTAACTAAATTTACTAAAGAAAACTATTTTAAAATTTTCTTATAAATTATACGGAGTAATACTTTCTGGGAAAATGACACAAGTATTACTTATGGCATTGTGAAATATAAAGAATGACTAGTTTCTTTTTT